GCTGCAAAGTTGATATTTCATCCCCCTGTTTTACAAAGAAATATTGTGATTCGATGTAAGATTTTAAGAAAATATAGTAATTAGTTGGGAGCATCTTTTTAAGCTTAAACAATAGGCCGTTATGCCAAACTTTATCAAATGGCTGGGATATGTCCAGAAATGCTGCTGTGCAGTACTTCTTTTTGTCAAATGCTGTATGTATGACATTAACCACTCTGTGTACTTGCTCTATTGTACTGTGTTTTTTTCTAAAACCAAATTGATATCCGGAATTAGTCTCCTTCTATTGACAATGGGCATTAATCTGGTAAGAAATAAATTTTCCAACAACTTTGACATAACCGGTAGAAGACTAATTGGTCTATATGACTTAACATCTTTTGCCGTTTTTCCAGGTTTGAGTATCATGGTGATTTGAGCCACCTTGAATTGGGGAGGGATAAAGTCTTTTGTGACAATAGAATTAAAAATGTTTCGCAGCAGTACTATTGCTTCATCCGGTAACTCCTTTAATATTTTTGAAGTAATTAGGTCATAGCCGGGTGCTTTATTTATTTTTAGTTTTTTGTTTCGAATTTTATGTCGAAAATGGAGAATTTTTGTATTGGAAGGTCCAGTTGGTGCGTTTGTAATAGCTCTCTAATCTCTTCAGTTATACTATTTGGGGCTTCATTAATGTTTGGAATAAAAACTGAAGACAGATGGTCCGTAAATACTTTGCATTTTTCTGTATCTGTTCGGGCCCATTGCCCTAGTTCGTTTTTTACTGGTGCATTGTGCGTTGTTGTCTGTTTCTTGATTGCTCGCCAGAGAGAGTAGTTGGTGGAAGTAGTTGCGTCTAGTCTTTGGAGATTTTTGTATTTCCAAATTTCTGGTTGTTTTCAGATGTTCTTTTAGATTTTTGATCAGCACATTAAAAAGTTTTTTATCTTTCGGAGATTTGGTTTGTTGCCAGCGCCTTCTGGCTGCTCTTTTGGCTCTTATAAGTTCTTGAGTCGTACTACATAATGGTGTGGCGAATTGTTGCATGTTTGAAGGCGTGGATCTCTAGGCTGATTGTTGAATACTCCTTATAAGATGTTCGGTTGCAAGCGCAATTTCTTCGTCTGTTTTAAGCGCCATTTTTTCATCAATTAATGCCTTAAGTGTATGCCTAAAGGCATCCCAGTTGTTTAATTTGTTGTGCAGATAACATTTTTGAACTTTAAGTTGTATATTCGATTTTATCCGTAATAATACTGGCGAGTGATCTGATGAAAGATCAAAGCTAGATTTACAGAACGTGTCGTTTTGTCGCGCTCCTTTAGTAACACAAAAGTCTAACAAGTCTGGCATTTTTTTGGGATCCGTGGGCCAATAAGTTGGTTCTCCAGACGAGATAGTTGAAAGGTTTTCGCTTCTTATAGCCGCAAGCATCTGTCGTCCTTTGGGTGTTGAAAGCCGAGAGCCCCATTCAACGTGTTTAGCATTAAAATCTCCCTCCGCAATAAATCTGTTACCTAAGGTTCTAAAGAATTTTTTATATGTTGCCGTCTTAGTTGCGTGTTTTGGTGGACAGTATACTGATGTTATTGTGATTGAGCCACACCAATCTTTTGTTGATATGCTGGTTGCTTGAATCTCTTCAGTGCGGTATTGTTGCATTTCAAAGTGTAATATATTTTAACTAGAATGCCACTTCCCCCATGAGCTGTTCCATCGGGATGCATAGTGTGGTAAAAGTCATAGCCTGGTACTTTAAAATAATGTTTTGAAGTAAAACGTGTTTCAGATATTAGCATGATGTCTTTTTTTTTATCTTTTAAAAATTCTTGTAGCTCTAAACAGTGTTTTGACAGCCCATTCGCATTCCAGAGCACTATATTTAATTCACTGTCGGACATAATTTAGTCGTCAGCGTGACAAGAACATTCATTAACGTAGTGATTTTTTCTAACATTTGCTTAACTACTATTAGAACTTCGCTCATGGTATCTGGAGATTTTGGAATAGTATGAGATTTAGGTGATTGTTCCACTAGCACGCTAGCATAACTTCTTTTGGGATCCCTTGGGATAGAAACTTTGTCTTTTTCTTCGTCAGTTTCTTTGTTTGTAGTTGTTGTTGGTTTAGGTTTTAGTGTTGGAAATTTCGCGGTTTGTAGCTGCTTATATATCGAACAGCCTTTATAATTTGCAGGATGGTTTCCTTCGCATAATATGCATTTGACTTCAGTACTTTTTCCTTGGATTGGACATTGAGACGAAGAATGGTTTTTTGCACATTTGATGCACCTCGGATGTCTTCGACAATAACTTTTCGTGTGGCCATAGTCTTGGCAGTTACTACACTGAGGAATGTCTCGTTTAGGACGAGGAGGCTCAAACGTTACTCGACTATGCATCAAATTCTTTATGCTGTAGATTTCCTTGTTATTTTGTTGAGGCTCAAGTTCTACAATGAAGAGAGGAAGTGGTTTTTTCGATTCTCTGTGTTTCATATTGAACACGTTTAGAGCTTTATGGCCTATTTCCGCCAGAGCTGTTTTAATGTCCTCGGTATTGACAGACGAATGCATGTTTCTCAAGATAGCTTTAAAATTTCGTTCATCTTTAGGCTTGTAGGTATAAAATTCGGTTTTTTTCGATTCGAGTTGCTTTACTATTGTAACATAAGACTCAGTTGTTTTTGTTTGGATTTTTACTTTTTCGTTGTTTAAAACTTTTAGCTCAAAATTGTTTTCTACTTGTGAGGACAAAAGATTTATGAGAGGATTTATGTTATTCGTCCTATCTACGAATATTGGTGGAGGTTTGGGCTGCTTTTCGGCATGTTGTGTCACTTCTTTAACTTCTTCTTCTTCTGTTTCTAGTACTGAAAATCTATTTATGGAACGGCTTGGATTGTCTAGCCAGTAACTATCTAATTTAGCTTGTTTTTTAGTTTGTTCAGAATTTTTTGAACGACGAATTTCAGGACTTGAACGAGTTCTTTTCTGACTTTCTTCTGGAAGTTTAATTTTTTGTATTGAAGAGTTGCTTAATGAGTTTTCTTTTGAGTTTCCCTTCGATTGAGTATGTACTTTGAAAGTTTTTTGGCTGTTCTGCTCTTTGTGCACAGGTGTCGAGAGCATAGCGCAATTTGATGTAGTAGGCATTTCGTTCAGTATATTGTTTGATATATTAGCGATTGAACTTACCGAAGTTGTTGGAAGTAAAGATAAGGCATGAGTAGACGAAACGTATATCTGAGTTGATGTAGAACTCAAGGTGTTAGTTATCGAGTTTGCAGTGCATACTGTGACGCTATTTGTAGTACATGTTGATGTTGAGCAGGAATGTGCTATTAGATTTGTTGGGGAGAGTCCCAGCGTGGGCGTATGACGTGAGCTTATCAGTGGGGTACGGCATTGTTCACTCCAAGAGTGAGATATACCACCTAGTTTTTGGTGTAAACAAGTGTCGTAGTTTTTTTCAATTGAGTTTGAATTGTTTTCGGCCTGTAGCTGTTTTTGGCTTCGTGTTGCTAAGGGACTTCGTTGAACACTCATTATTTGAAATTGTGTTAATTAATGTTTGGTTTTCGTTGATCACCTATCATACGCATAAATTAGCGTATCGCCCATGCAGTAGAACAAGTGATTTTTGAGTAGTAATTATTTTAAAAAGATTTTTTTTTTTTTTTAAAAGAATCTGTTAAATTAAAATGTTAATTAGTATAAATGTACCATATATCACATTTGATTTTGTTTAAGTTGTATTTTAAATGCAAATAAATATTTAAATATTAATATAAATAAATTTTTTTATAATTTTAATAAAATAAATATTAAATATTAATATAAGTGTTCAAAATTTTCACAACACATATTAAATTTTTGGATAATTAATTTTATCCAAAATTCGTTTTAGCGTTTTGCAACACTTATTTTAGTTTATTATTTTAAGCAAAGAAGATAAAGAAAAGAAACTGAGAGTTACTCGAAAAATTGTGTATAAATTTTTCTGGATTATTCAAAAAATATTCAAAAATTTTGTGTAATGAGGTGAAAATATTACGCAGTACAATAACAAAAAGCCTAATGCTACATAATGGCGCGTGAATATTTTCCCCACCCGGACCCTGATACTTTGCCCACCCGGTCCCTACTCACCACGATATTTGCTAAAGTAAGAGAGGTTTCTGAGAAATTTCGTTGTTTGTTTTGGTTTTTTGACATTAAAAATCCGTTACGAGAAAATGCGCCAAAGTTGCAATTAAGTGCACAAATACCACATTACTAAAAGAAAAATAAGGCGGAATTTGTTTTCAATTATAAAAGCATTAAAAAAAGGTAATTATTCCAGAAAAATATATGAATTATTAGTTAATTAAAATTTATTTACAATTGAAACGGAAGTGCGTACTTGGATGTTTAAATTTCAAACATCTCTATATTTTTCCAAAGGATTATCGAAGGTATATTATTAATTAAAAATAACGCAATTTATTGTTGTAGAATAAAGTAAATATATAAATGTATTAACACATTAGAAACTTAGATGTGTGCCTAATTAGTGTATATAATAAACTACGAATTAAGTTGTGCTTTTATTTTTTATTTTTTCCATGATATACTAATAATTATAAAAAAGGAAAAATCCTGAAGAGAAATTAATATTATTAATTATACTTTGATTGAGTGTTGTTATTATATATACATATATTGAAAAATTAGAATCACAATTTTCGGATCAGTTCGATAGCAATTGCTATAAATTAGGTTTAGCGCAACATTTATTTAATAAATTAGAAAACGTTCATCCCCATATATGTTGCTCTAATTGCAAAATTGAAACTCTTCTATCTTTTTTCATTAAAGTAAGAATTTACTTCATTTTAAAATATTTCAATCGAGATAATAAAGTGTCGAATTTTAA